ACAATTTGCCATGGACTATAAACTAAATTTGCCATGGACCGTAAACTAATTTGCCATGGACCGTAAACTAAATTTGCCGTGGACATAAACTAAATTTGCCATGGTGCATAAACTAAATTTTCCACGATGCATAAAAGAATTTTTGCCATGTATCTATTTCTTCCGTAAAAGTCCGTAAGATCATGGCAACTGTGCATATATGAGTCTGCCATGCTATTTAAATAAAAGAACCTTTGCCATGTTACTAAATTTTCCACGATGCATAAAAGAACTTTTGCATGTTATTTATTGTTTTTACATTCTTTTCTTCAAGGAAAACATCAAAATTTCCATGGTGCATAAAAGTCTGTAAGATCATGGCAACTGTGCATATATGAATCTGCCATGCTATTTAAATAAAATAGATTTCCATGGGATATTAATTTTTTTTGACATGTTCTACATAGTAGGGTCATAACAAATGTCACTACCTAAATATCATGGCAAAAAATTGTCATGATCTACTTGGTAGGGGCATGTCAAGGTCGCTACCTAAAATATGTCATATTTGAGTAATCTACTTTTAAGAAATTTGCCATGCCAATATGTGGAAAACATGTGTCGTGTCACATTAGGAGAAAAATGCCATGCGACCAAATGCAAAATTCATCTATAAATGCAAAGTGTGAGTAGACAAAAAAATATGAATTATGTCATAAGATTATTTGTCGTGTCACTCCACAGAAATTGCCACATTATTTTGAATATTTCTCCTAATTTTGTCATGGCCTACTACTAACCTATCTCTCAACACAAATTAAAACTCAATACGAATCAGCTACCAACCAACAAACAGTTGAAGGCCAATTGATTTGGCAAAAGAACAAGGCAACTACACCAAGTTAGTATAAGAAAATGTCATGTATGTAGTGCGTACTTTCTTCGTCTCAATCATATAGTGGAAAAGAGTTGCCATGACACATGAATTACATTTGCCATGGTTTAATATATATTGACATGCCCCATAAGAAATAGAGATAGTTTGCCATTGTTGGAAAAGGAAAAAAAAGAATTTGCCATTACCCATAACTACAATTGCCATGCTTCCATGAACTTAGAAGCCATGATACATAAAAATCCGAGGGGATTCATGTTCCATAGCTTGCACACAAAGTGAACACAAAAACAAAAGTTGACATGTGAAAAAATTGAACTCATCAGTGATGTTTATAAACTACAATTGCCATGCTTCCATGAACTTAAAATGCCATGGTATGCAAAAGTCCTAGGGCATTCATCTTCCACAGCTTGCACACAAGTGAACACAACAAAAAATGCCATGTGAAAAAATGAACTATGTAATTTGGTTGCACATTGAGAATTTCAACTATCCACTCGACTGATGGTAGAGAGCTCAAATGTCCAACGAACGAACCTGTAGCCTGCCACATCCTCGTGCAGGCAGCACATTTACTGGTGTTGCGCCAGGACCTAGTGCTTGTAGGAGCAACGGCCGCTGCCGGAGTGGAGGCTAGGGCCACCGGGCTGAAGGGGATTCCGGCGCCGCTGAAGGAGGCGCCCAGGTCGGCGAGACGTTCGAGCTTGCCGACGCCTGCATGTGGAGCGCACCGGCGGCTGGCCGGTGTTGACCTCCTTGCGCGGAGGACGGCGCGACTGAGGCGACGCTGGGCCGTCGCCGTCGCGGACGACGACGATGTAGACGCTGACGACCTCCAGGTGCCCCCGACCTCCCCTCCGTCGTCAGAGGAGTGGCTTGGCGAGTCCGACTGCGGCCGCGCTGCGCGCTCCCGGCGAGCCTCTCCGTCGGCTGCTCCTCGTGCGCTCCCCGACGAACTGCTCTTCCGGCGAGCCTCCCTGTGGCTGGACACCGCGCGCGTCGCGGGGCCTTCCTAGGACGGCTGCTGGGAGGCGCCTGGACGACGCTGCTGAGCCCAGGTCGAGGCTCAACTCCGGGGTAGTTTGGGAGGCGCGACGCCGGCGAGGACACATCAGCCCGCCTCATCTCAGCCACGCAACATCCGGATGTTGGATCCGGTGGAGCTCCTCCCCGCGCCGCCCGCCTCGTGCCCGCCACTGCCCGCCTCAAGTATGGCATGGCCGCCTCGTCGTCGGGGCATGGTGCTCTTCCTCTGTGCGTTGTAGCAAGGAGAGGGGATGGGAGTGGAGGTCTGTGGATTTGTCCGACGGGTGAGCAGAGAATGGATAAGGGCATATACAATGGTTGATAAGAGAGTCTTATCTTAAATCTTGCATGTAATTTAAAGATGACAAAAAAGTATGTCTACAATAGGTTATATCTTAGCCTTATCTTCAATAACTAGCAATTCCTTAAAATATGATGAGACAAATTGTGCTAAGAGATCATCTCTTGTCTTATCTTAAATAAGAGAAGACAAGCCTTTTCTTACGAGTTCTCTCTCCTCCACTTCATTATTTATCCTACGTGACAATCCTAAGATAGCACCATTGTACATACTCTAAGGTAGCGGCGTGGGGCGATGAAAACGTTCGGAACAACCACATCCTTTTCCAAACGGAAGGAATCGATGACGTGGCTGCTTTGACACACTTTAAGATCAGTGTTGTAATCCTGTGGTCAAAAGGTTGTTCGGGACGAGAGCATGAGACATGGACGTTCGGCACTTATTGATACCGTATAATTTACA